GGAGTAATTTCACAAAAAATAATTGAATATCAATTCAATAAAAATTTCATTAATTAAATATCAATTTAAAAAAATATATTTTCCTATAAAATTATGTATATAAATCTTATTATTGTATATTATTATCTATATATGCAATACATTTTAATGACATATATGCATTTATTTAAAATACTTCCATTAGAAGATTTTCTTGTTAGCACCCCTTTCCGGCTCTTAAAAGTTCTATGCTAGGCTTGCCTGGAAGAAAATGCTACTTAGCAATAAGGACGTCCTTTGTACATTAACTTACATTGTGATGATTACATTACTGTTCTGTGTTGTCATTGCAATGTTTAGTGTGCAATATGGAATATTATATAAACTGCTTCCGTCGCCGAACGGTTACCATGCCGAACTGCCACGCAGAGTTCCCAGGTCCAGTTTCCGGGCCGGGAGAAATATTTGTATGACCTACATTTATTTCTCTCGTCAGTTTGGGTGTAATTTGTGGTTGTCAATGTGTGTGTCCATGGCACCCGCGACACAGGGTTTCCCTAGGGCGGGGATTATGTTGAGTGTGTGCATTATTATTATTTATTTATTAGTAAATTTATTACTAAATAATTATTTCTTTATGAAATTACTCCGCTACTAGTTTGTTATAATAATTATTAATACAAATATCGAACATTACGAAAAATTCCTTCGATCTGGCTGGATTTGAACCAACGCCTTCAAACCTGTCGTTCTCTTATGTGAGCTACGTACATACCACAAGACCTTACGAATTTTTCTATATGTTTATTGCAAATCTTTGTTTTTGATTTTTAACGTTGTTATCATTTGTAGGGGAACCAGAACAAGGGAAAAATGTGAAAGGCTTTAGTTTATTAAAGAATCACATCAAAGCTATGTTCCTGAAACTCGCTTACAACGCGATGAGAAACAAAGTTATTGCTCTTATCCAACTGATCACACCACTTATCAATATATCGTTATCCGTGCTCATCTCGAGGTCTTGGAAGTTCATGAGTTCATTACCACCGCTTCTATTGAGTTTAGAAAGTGGGTTTAAGAAAACTGAAACATTGATGTCGGAAATAGCTGGCCTTCAAGATAATAGCCTGGAGGGAATGGCTATGCTTTCATATAAAAACTATTTTAAATCTAAGAAGGATTATAATATGAAACTTACCGATTTTGGATTCTCGCAAATGGGCAAGATGTATTTGAAGATGGTACGTATGAAAAATTTTGTTTTAGTAAAATACTACTCATATGAGTACTGTTTATATAACAGTGTCTCTTTTTTTTTATGAAAGATGAATGTATTAAATTTTATCAATTTCTGCTGCCCCGATTTTTTTCGTCCCATACAATGGAATTCATAAGAAGCAGAGTCTATCGGCATTAAACAATATTGGTCAATTTGACTCACTTTGTATGTGAAACATTTAATTGTACAAAATATATACAAAACAAAAGAAACAAAAAACAAAACATTTATGAAATTTTACCAACTTCTGCTTTTCAATTTTTTGTTCTATTTTTGTCGTTCTGAACTCTCATGTGGACGGGTGTATGTGCGTGCGTGCGTGCGTGCGTGCGTGCGTGCGTGCGTGCGTGTGTGTGTGTGTGTGTGTGTGTGTGTGTGTGTGTGTGTGTGTGTGTGTGTGTGTG